TCGCCTCCGCCTCCGCTGCCGCCGTCGATGTATAAATTGGACTCGTTGCGTGGACATGGTTGGTGGTGAAACCGCAAAAGCGCTTTAATCTCACAGCGCCCATTTACGCTACGTGTTAGCACGCCGCGTCGGGGACTATTTAACTAAAATCAATAAATCCATACGGTTTGTGTGCACACGACGGACGTTATACCGTGTTTCGTATTCACCCAGTGGCGGCTGTGGTCTTTCACTTTCGCGGTGCGTGCAAGTGTAGGCGCGCGCGCGGACGTGTCCGCTCGTGTAAATATTATTCTAATTACGAATTTATTATCGCCCCGTAACTAGACTGCGCTCGCCGCTCCGCATACCTGATGATGCCAAATCGTTTTGTTATTGAAGTTGCGCCGCGGCAAGTTCATGCTTGGAGCGGCGCGCGCGCCGCCGGCCGACGACGACGGCGACCATCGCGCACACACCACCCACACACGCCGCACACACTTGGAAACGTGTCAAGGTTCTAAGATCAGCCCGCGCGAAATAAAATAGGTTTCGCCGGCAAAGTGTGTGTTGTAATGCTTTTTTACACGCAGGTGGAGTACAATTCTACAAATAATTTGCTGGCCACATCCCAGCAATTAAACTGTTTCATTTTGGGTGGTTACTTTTAATATTCATATTGTACTTTTATCTTTGGCAAAATTATTTAGGTAGGGTGAATTTATTTATGATTAATAATCATATTTTTGAAATTTGCAAGTAATTTTGATAAAATCATAGGATTTTACTGCCTAGGCAATAAAGTTGTAAACGGATTTAATTTTTCTGTTGACATATTCACCAACTTTGGGGCTTCCGCATAGAATTTCTTTATTACTCACGCACATAATAAAAAACTGCTTTAATGCCTCGATAAATAAATATTATTTTAAGAATTAGTTTTCTTTTCGTGTGTCACACATTTCATTTTGTATTTTTTTAACATTTTGTGACTTGTAACTTCCCGAAACGATAATTTAGATGACATTCCCATGGTATTTGTGAACGCTTAAAAGAATTAGGTCTCCCTGGCTTGAAACTGGTCAATATTGCATAATGAAATCAACCTTCCCGGAACACGAAAAACTCGTACCTATACGCGTGTGCCTAACTCGAAAATTTCTATGCCGTTCCGTTATTATGTACGATTGTTATTATAACGCGAGTGTTGTATTTCATTATTAATTCAGAATGCCTCGGCTGGTTCCGTCGCCATTTCACAATGTACGTAGATATACTTGCTCAAATCGATAATAATGGTAATGCTTGCAAGTTTATGCTTTTTTCCATTGTATTTGGCACTTGGCTAACGACACATTACCCACGTGATGGCAAATCAACGATTGTTGCTTCTGCTCGTGCTTATCACACGTTTAGTTATTGATTAATCGTTAGTTTAGAAACAACAAGTGCTAAATATTCAGAGTTTATGTGTGATACGTTCAACGAAAATTTATTTTTAGTTTTTTCCGTGTTTTAGTTGTATATATCTTTTATAACATCCTGTAAAAGTTTGTTTTTTTCCGAAAGGCTCAAAGCGAAAGCCTCACTTGCCCCAAATCTGTCTACCGGCGTAATTCCATGTTAAGCATATTTTTTCCTCCACTATTACCACTGACAGCTTGTTTGCGCGCCGTGGTTTTGTTTAATTAATGAAATTTATAATTTTTTTTTGTATTTATTTGCGACGTAATATGAGCGGAATAAAATTTTATTGATTTTTTTCGTTGGGGTTATTAGGTGAAAAAAAGGCCTTGATGAAAAAGTCCTTTGCGCCTGCCAAATTGTAACGAATGGGCGCACCATATGAAAGGCGCAAATAAAGAGCAAAGAAAGCCGATCAAAAACCAAAAGCAGCGGCGAGGCTGTGTGCCTTGTGCCTTGTTTGAGGTTCACCCCGAAATGCTTAACCCTTATATTGGGAAAGGCATTACTGGAAGGCCGCTATGGCAATAATGTTGGAGCATTTGTTGCGTGTGCCACGGAATGCGCATGTCGAATATCCTCCCACAGAATATCACTCTTGACGCCGGCGGAATCTGATCTATGCTACAGGGTAGCACTACAAGTCTTTGAATTAATTATACAAAGCATATCTTATCCGCAGTTGAATATTTTGATATGTTGATGATGCATGATTTAAACTTTTGTAAAATTCATTGTGGTGCTGTAAAATTGATTACAAGGGTCGTGGGATGTTGATCATATTTCGCTACCATTACTGATATCCATCCATCTGACGCGCAGAGCACAGGCACGAGCCGAAATCAAAAATTCTGCAATCTATTGATTTTCCGCCTTTCTGCCTTTGCCTTTGGGGTCTTCTGCTTCAGCGATACATCTACGTAACTTCACCTAGTCAGCCGCGTCGCAGGCTGTTTCTCTCGCGCCTGCCGCCACCGCTGCCGCAGAGTACACCGCACATACGGTGGAGCACCGGCGGGAAAACTGCCGGAATAGCGTTGGAACGAGATCTTAAATAAATAACGCCGACTTTGCAACGCGCAGCAACTTTAAACGTGTTTAAAGCATCCGCAACCACTACATAAATTTGTTCAACGCCGCCTTGGCCGCAAGCCTCGCTTACAACTTACAACCGGCGCTCTCGTGGCTGGCATTGTTGTAAGACAAGTTTGTAATCAGTTGCAGATAGTTTGCCTGTGTGTCTTTCACGTGTGTTTTCAACTATCTTTGAACACCGAGCAAATTGAAACGCAAATTGTACATGTTGTAAAAATTTTAGGTTCGCGTACGGAAGCAATCGATTTTGGTTAAATTCGAGGGCGCAACAGCTATAAGATGCTTACCTACTTACATAGGTATTCAATGTTGAGTGGGTTTTCCTTTGCACTGAAATCTGTTGCGATTTAAGTAAAAGTTGTAAAGTTTTATTGGTTTACTTTGAGGTTAATTATTTTTAAAACTCTTTAAATGTTTAATGACTTTTTATGTGTCAAATAAAAGTATATTACATTTTGAATCAATGTAATCATGTTATTAAGAATTGCGTAATTAGTTTATTTAATAGAAAGTTCAAAGAATCAAAGCATTTAAACAATTTTCTGGTAATTAATTAATTATTCATTGCGACTATTGGTGCTGGATAGTATAATTACTGAACAAAAGACCATTCTCCGCAATCAATTGGTATTTATTAGCTCGTCCAATGATCTTGTGCTATTTAGTATGTACTTTCATTTGCGATCGCAGTTTTTAGCATGATCTCTGCGATGTGATGCCGCCGGGAGCATCCCGCCTTTAATTAATTAATTTGAACAAGCGCTAATTACTTTTCAACGGCGACCGGATCGAGAGCTTTGTTTGTCGTCCGGGATTTCGTATCGTTTGGCGGGCGTAAAACTGCGTTCGCATTGGTGCGCGCGGGTGCGGGACGGAATGCGAGACGCGGCGTCGGAAGCTGCGGGTGCGTTGCAAATGGCGAGGCGGAGAGTTTCGCCGCCACCGCCGCCGCCGCCGCCGCCTCTACGGACGCTTGCGGTGCCACGATGCCAGATACACGCACTCTGCTTGTCCCGGCGCCGCTCCAGCGAGAGGTTTTATTGCCATCGGTGATTTTCATATTTGCCAACTTGGGGGTCGTGTGCGCTTTGCTGGCTTGTGTATCGATTTATTTGCGTTTCATAAACTACTTTTTAAAAGCTTTGTAAACATGCAAATGCGTTCTCTCATTTACGCTTCGCGCTCGGGCGCTCAAACAAAAACAAATTACGCTTGAATAAATTTGAACGCTGCGCCCGCAAATAATTTAATTGTTCGTAATTTGCAGATGAAATGAAAATTCGAAATAAATTTAAAATTCAAACCATTGTTTGTCTGTTGCGCTCACAACAGACACTTGGCATTAATTTACTTTGGATCCAATTAATCTACTAGGTACATAATTATATTTTGGTCGGTGTATTAATAAATTAATTGATTGGTAATAATTGACGTCGGCGTGTGTTCAGCGATTAATTCCAATTTCCTAGCTGGTGTGCAGCAGTGCTGCCCAGGAGGAGGCCTGCAATATACGAGAGAGGAAAATCGGAATAGCAACTGATGAAACACGAATGAGAATGCGAATGAGAATAGCGGACGCATTAAGAATATTAGAGACTAACAACCACACTAGATGTAGTGGTGGGGGGAAATCAATTATTTTTAGATTGCGCTTGGAAGTGCACTGAAAATAGAACTTAGCTGCTTTTCTGGTACAATTCATTTCTACTTACCGAACACACGGATACTCTCGCACACCAAATGGCGGGGCTTGTATGAAATTGTTTGCTCGTTCAGGTGGCGCGGCGTAATTAAATGCAGAAACCAAAGCGTTTCTAATGCGGGCAAATCGCTTGGAACTGAATCAAAATCGCCCATAACTTTTGTTTATTTAATTTTTAATTGATTTCAGGAAAAGTGTTATTTTTGTATTGAATGTTTTACGGTCTAAGTTTGGAAATGACATTAAAAGTTTTATTTTTATTTTATTTTGTTGGCCGACAATAGCGTACGTTTATTACGTGTAAATTATGTGCAGGTAGAATTAATAAATGCGGAATTTAATCTTCACAAAATTTAGCATAATTTGGGTTGGCCGAGTGCCAAATTGGCTTCGATTAAAATCGTTTAACACGTCCGCTATGCCACTGAAGTCGCGTGGAAAATGTTACCGAGTCGGTTTGGCAATATACAAATACATCTAATTGGTGTGAGTGGTGCGTTTCGACGGTATAGGTGGATGGGAATTGCACATTAGAGTGGAATGATAATGTAAACATTTTAATTAACGTTGGACGGCAGCCGCTGCTTATTTAAACGTTAAACGCAAGTTTTTATCAAAACAAATATGCGATTACAAGAGTTGGAAAATTGTTTAGTTGTAAACGGAAACGGCGGTATAAACCTATTTGAATTCTTATCTAATTTGTGTGTTTGATGGGTGTGTACGTAGATAATTAATTGTAATTTGTTTCGTTTTACAGCCGTTCCCTTTCCAATAAGCCATAAGTTAACCATAGCCGAAGTATTCGATGCGCGGACGGGCAAGCCGCGGCCGGATACGCTCAAACAGCATTTTATCTTGGAAGGTCGAATCGATGAATCGGCCGCACTCAAGATCATCAATGAAGGTGCTAATCTTCTGAAGTCGGAAAAGACTATGATCGATATCGAAGCTCCGGTTACAGGTAAGCTAATGTTACATTTTTCTTTTATGTAAAAAGGAAAAACGCTTTAATGTCTAGAAGTAAAGTTAAATTTGACCGAATTATTATTATTATCATCACAATTTTTGATGAAAGTTAATTGGTAATCAATACAAGACGCACTTTCTTAGTTTCTAATCGAAATTCAATATTGTCATCTATATTATCTCATTAGTACACAGATGACATTTACAGTGTTTTTAAAATAAAATTTTAATTCCAAAACCTTTGATAAAAACACAAAAGAAATACGTGTGCAGTTAATGAGCCGAGTTAATATCAAGCGCGATCCTCGTAAAAATATTACTATTATCTATTTAAATGAAACACACTTTACAATTACACATAATGGCTTAATGTGTTTCAATTTGATTCGATTAAAAATCCACGCGGTGCATTTGTTTGCGTACACTCGTGTTTCCTCAAGGTTTTCGACTTGTTTTTTTTTTGACGACTCGTTTTGCCATCCGGACGATATCATGGCGTGTGCGAGCCGTCGTCGTTTGTTGTCAGCATCGACGTGTTCGCTAAGTGACATGTAAAAATAAACACGAAAAAAAGTTGTAATTAACGTGAGTTGGGGCGTCGTGCGCGCAACCTAAGGTAATGCACGCAACGTAAATTAGCCGATGTGTTTTATAAATAAAGTAATTTCGGTTTTCATTCGGTGCACGTTTGCCACATAAATTCTTCGCCGGCTATTTCTCTATACATGGCCGATGATGATACACGCCGGTTGGGTTTTTATTTAGAAACTGTTTAGGAGCGCGCTTGGTTACAACGGTTGGCAGTTTTTTTTTTCTCTCACGATGCACTCACCTACACTCTACTTATTTTATACTCTCTTGTCTCGAGAGCTGTCTAGCGTCGTAAAATGCTCTGTGAAACGCCGATCGACTTTTCATATAATATCAAATTCATATCGTATGTGGGTATAGGTAGGTACTCAAATTTATTAAACTATAAAGTTCTACGTATTTTAGGTTATTACCACGTTTTTATTTTAATATCCTTGCCGGTGAAACTAGTTTTGAAATAATAGTAAAAAAGAAGCGCATTACGTGAAGTTGTCGTTTCAAAATGTGTCTGAATTGCTCTACGAGTGAGTTCGTTTGATCAGTGAGGTGCGTAGTGTGATGAGCAGGGAATTAGTTTATTGGGGCGTATACCACATGCGTGTGATACCTTAACACAGCTTCCTGCGGTTTGTTTCACTCTGAAACACATGTTTCAGCTACATACGTATTAATACGTCGAACATGGTAACAGGAGTTGCATAAAGCGTATGATAACAATGATAATACTCTGATTATTATGCGCGTATTAGAATCTTAAGTATTACATAGAAGATTATACCTATAATTTAATTTCCCGAAAGATATTTGTCTTTGAATGAAAATTTCCGCGCAATTTGACTGTGAAATTTAATTTTTACATCTATTGAAATAGAGATTATGTTGTTTGTATTAATTAAGAATTAAAATTTACTAAGTATTTTTTAGAGTTTTATAAAATAAATCGAAACGTGCGATAAATTGGTCTGTAATTGTTACAAAAATACTGTTTTCAATATAATTATTGATAAATAAGTTGTAGAATTTAATCTTTAAGCTACTCCTAAAGAAATAATTAGTATTTGTTGATTACTTTTTGAGTAATTGATGAATGATTAACGCCACGATTATAGGTTCAAGTTAAAAAGTTATGCGAGTAATAATTACTGCTAGTTAACAACTACTGTACTTGATATTTTTCTCATTTTTAGAAAACGCACTTTATACTACGATCGTCGTCATCGTTAAGTAGGCAATTATAAGTTAATTGCATTGCGTTTCGAATAAATGTGCGAGATCTTGATTCAATTTATATGCATTAAAACTTCCCTATTTACGTGCGCTTAGGAAATGCGAGCGTAGTGGTAATAAATATCTGTTTATGTGGCGCGCATATTTCATGGGCTTATTTTAAGCGAGTGTCAGGTAAAGTCGGTAGAGAGTTTTTTTTTTCTCATTCGACTTGGGTCCGTTTCACGTTTACGACTTTCTGGTGCGTAGAGCCAAAACGATGTCAGTAAACGCAACGCACTTGTGCTCTTTATTAATTCGAATTCACCGAATTTAATTACGGATGCAACATTGTGTGTTGATTATAGGAATAAATTATATAATAAGTCAAAAAATATAAAACGCTGCCAAGAAATAAAGGTTGAGAAAGAAACTAAATTTGTAATTTGTGGAGTTTTTATTTGTTTTTTATTGTTGATTTTATTATTGCCGCACTCTGTATTTGTAGTTTGATGCCAGTATCTTTGATAAAACGTTTCGAGTTTCCTCTTTATAGTTTCTAAATGTCTGGCTAATTTGTGCACTTAAAAGAGTGTTATTCTTATAAAGTGCGAGAGTGTTTCGCCGAACCTAAACGAAGGGAGCGGAATGTGTTTTGTACTCGCGGCGGGCAGCGCCAAGAGCTGCCGAACAGGAAAAGGCAATCAATAACTATTTAGGGCAGCACTAAGGTCGAAAATGACACAGCAAAACACTCGCTGTGTTTGCAAGGGTACGAAATAAATATAGAAATATATTTATTATAAAAATCTGTTGACATGTCATAACATTGAAAGCGAACATACAATTGAATTCATTGTTGTTGAAATAAATATAAATATATTTGTGGTGGAGGCGCTGCCAGTTGACGAATGTTTTAAGTGGGCGTAAATCGCAAATCATCCAAAATAAGAGATTGCGTTATACACGCGCTGAGCTGGGCCGTATTGTGATTTGCTTTGTGGTAGACAGCAATACAAAAGCTTCTTTTTTTGGGCACGCAAATATATTTATAGACACTGAGATCTGTGCCCAAACACGAGTTTTCCTGTCGTATATATGCATATCCGAATAATAGCTTATTTATTACGCAGGCTTAATTTTATAAACAAACAATACGTAATGCTTCTGCGTGCCAGACATAGAACTAACCCCGTCTTGTGCAAATGACAAAATGTAATTCCAGTCGATTGCATCTGGCGGAAATGAGATTTTGTCCTTTAATTGCACACGCTGCAGCCTGCTTTATAGCTGCAGTAAATAACAATCTACGGCCGCGCGCGCGTCTACCTTAATTAATTCATTACGTGCATTAGTTGCAAATCGGGATATTTGAATAGCTGCAATAATAGACTGACTTGATGCATTCGCTTAAGTTGTGCGCTTCATTTTGTGCACATTCTTTGCGAGTTTCCGAGAACTACAGTGCTTGAGTTTATAGTGCACGCACATAAATAAATTGTATGTGCAAATTAGAAGTACGGCCACCGCTTCCTGCCTCAACTCGTAACTTGCCATTAAGTCTTTACAACAAACTTGGCGAGGACATAGTTTTCTGAAAGGGCCTTCAGCGCACAAGTTGTAACACTGTTACATGTTGTTCTCCATGCAAATTCTATGCTTATGCTATTAAATATTAGTGTACCAAATCTTTGAAGAACATTAAAGTTACCCTTTTACGTGATTATATAAAATTCAATGTTATAAATTGTTAAATTAAATGTTTTTATTAAATTTTCATGTTTATTTTAAACTAATGCACAAACAAAGTGTGCAATTTCATATTTTGTAATGTAAAAGAGGGAATTGTTGTTGAAAACGTCTGAAACAAACACTTTTTTCATATTCAGTTGCTTCACTCTGATTTAATTAAGGGTGTGTTTGAGTTATGGGCCCGAATGCAAACGTAAACGCAAACGAACATAACACCGCCACTCGCGCGAGGATTTCGGGGGCGAGGTGTCTTGTGCTGTACGCGAACGTAAATCCTATCTGAACTCTGCCGTCACCCCGTTTGCAATCCAGCTTTCTCGCTGCCCTTGCCGCGAGGTCGTAACTATAACCGACGGCGGGCGGCGTGGCGGTGTCTCGCTTTAATTGCTTTCGTACATGAGTCTCGCGGCTGTTTATTTCGGGTTATGCATAACATTATCCTAATTAAACTCGGCTGTCGGACGAGCCACGGAACTCTAGCACACCAGTACCAACATTATTGGACTTGTTGACAATCGCGTTGCTTTTTTAAGGTGTGTTTTTTTTAACTGGACGTATTTCATCATTTAAATAATTAAATATAAATAATTGTTGAAAATATTTTATAAGTTTGAGATGTTTTTAAATTGTTTTATGATTATAACTTTGGTTAGGTTATATAAATTTGGAGTGCACTTTACATACTTAGCTTTCAATGACCCATTCAGGTCTAGACCACCAGAGTGTGCATTAGTTCACTTACACGGAGTATTAACATATACGTAGCTAGTTGCATTTTACCCCAGAAGCTAAGTTTATTTAATATTTCAAAAGATAAAGCCTTTATTAAAATTTTTATCAATTTTCCACTTCAGAGCATTTTTCTAGAATAATTTATTTTTCTAAACGTTGGTTTCTGTATAAAGTTTTATTGCTCTTTGATAATGTTGAAAGTGAAGGCAATCTTGCACATCAGACCTCAGGCTAACAATTTTTTCCTTTTTTTGTCTCTAATTCTAAGTAGGTACTCTGCGCTTTGAAAGAGCATCCAGGTCGGTAATGCAGAAAGTTAAGAGTGAAAAGTTTTCTGCTGTTACGATTACTACCATTACTTTAAAAACTATTGGGCGTGTCCCAGCTAGTATAAATGGAAAAGTCAACAGTTTGATGCGCTTATTATCAAACCCCGTAGCTGAACATTATATTCCCCAGTTTACCACTTTTGTGATAATGTTACTCCACACATGAGAACTAAATCGTTTTCGAATGTTGCGTCTGAAACTATCAATGACTATCAGATATCAGAAAATAGATATAAGTGTATATACCTATAGGGCATGCTAGGCAGGATAGCGGAGGTGGTGAATGGTGTAGTGATAGTGAAAAGGTGACGCGACGATGCGCGCTGAGGAAAGAACCATGGTGAAGCATTCGTCGTTTGGCCATTCGAGCGGGCAGCGAGACGAC